CTTTGGAATGCTCACTCAGGCATATACCTTTCCTCATTTTCGCGGGGATGTAGCTCAGAAACTAGAGGGGATTAGGTTTCAAGAACGGCAATTTGGGAACAGCACCGAAAGGTTGTTCAAGCAGGCCAGTTCAGTTTAAAAGCGCATATAAATGTGAAATACTCCTTTTAAGACTCGCCCGGGCGCGTCTCGCGTCCGGCTCGAGCGCGTCCATACCCTCGCGCTGGGCACGCTCATCCCACGCGCCCGTTCCCCGCGCCCATTCCTCGGTGGAGTCATTCCCCGGTGGAAACATTCCCCGAATTTTGGTCCGATTACGAATAGGACACATTACACTCACACATTGTTACACATACTTACGTCAGTCTCTCCCCTCTCCCATCCCCCAGTGTCAGCCGGGCGATCATCCACTTTCGTTAAAGCGTATTGTCATTGAGTGTACTAAATTTCAGCAGCGCCGCAAACATATATAGACCTACTGGCGTAGGCTTATAAGGACAAACCGCCTCAAACAAATAAGTGCAAAATGGAAAGTCGTTTTAGTTTGTGTGAGTTATTAAAACTTTTGCCTGTACAGGGTAACATGACCTACCTGATATGGGCATAGAACGGGCATCTCCCCGGGCCGGGCGCCCGTGTCCCCTCCCCGCTCGTCAAGGGTCCTCTCTAGTGGGGATCTTCCTCCCGTGGGGATCCTCCGGGGCTCACGGGAAGGAGAGCGGGGACTTTGGGGAGAAGCAAGGACTTTCCGAACAGGGACGGCGAGGGGAGGGGGCACGAACGGCAGCCGGAAGACACCCCGTGGTGGGACAGACTGACCTTCAGCCCTCTCCCGGGAACAATAAGGTGCCCACTAGTGTAGTGTAAGGTACACAAGGGGTCCCTTTCGCAGAAAAAAGTAATGGGGCTCATTAGTGTTGAATACAGTGGGTCGAAAATCAGTGGAAAAAACGAATCAGGCTATCGCGTGTTTGCTTAAGACCGTTCTTCTTTTGCAGAATCAACTGGTGAAACAAATTACATAAAAGGTTTTTAGCATGCGTACCAGCAGATTCAGCACCTCGAGGGCATGCGCAGCAATGACCTGGGTTGTAGCTTCCGCAGAACCGAACGGCGTTGGCCACTGCAAGTAATGCCAGATGGTGGGTGCTGTGCGCGTAAGACCGACCGTCGTAAAAATGGTTTCGAATGCCTTTTGAAATTCATAGAAGTCATTCAAAGATGAGGCCGGGTGCATCTTTTCTACTGCTTTGAGATTGTCCTTAGGACAGATAAATAGTTAAAACAACACGAAGAAGAGATAACTATTACTGTTTCAGATTTTCGGTTCAATTCTACTTTGCGCGGCCGTAATAGCCAATCCGTTCTCATCATCAATCTGAAAATTGCACAGGTGAAATACACCCCCGGAATACCTCCGAAATGTGCAATTTGATAATCCTGCAAAGTAATCCTACACATTCTTTCGAATGCATTTTCACTTTCGTCCTCCCGTTGACCACGGCTCAGTGTCAGCCGCGGGACCAACGCTGCGCGGCCTATGGAGACTACAACGTCTGACATCGAGTGTTTGCTTGCCAAGATTTGCAAGCGGGCAACTACGTTACATAAGTTGCATCATGTATCAATTCTGACTGAATGTTGAGCATTTCCAGACAAACATGGCTTGGCAGCGTTGGTGTCAAATTTTTATTTGTTTTGATCTACATTCGCAGGGGTCATATCTCTGTACAGCCCATGTAAACCAATTTGAAAGAGGCTTCTTAGTTCTATCGGTTTAGAAAGAGTCAACTGGATCATTGCAAAATGAACAGTGCCAGTGATTTATTTCATGCAGTCGTTTAATGCATATTTATTGATTATGAACTTCAGGCAGAGTTGATCTTGCGGTAGTTTTTGGCTTCTATTCTAGTTATAGCAGGTAAAAATGAAAATATGAGAGGCAGAGCTCCTTCATTAACAACTAGAACATGTTCGGCTAGTTTTAGTGTGTGTGTGGGGGGGGGGGGGGGGCTGTTCGAGTAAGAACAACCGTTGTAAAATGGTTTTTGAATGTATTCTAAAATTGATTTGTGCCCTTTCAAGACAAGGCTGGGCGCATCTTTTTCTACAACTTCGAAGCTCTTACCATGAGGGGCCCTTTATCAAGCCTGAGTCCCTCTCCCCTCACCAAGGCTCTGGCCGCGCGCCTGCTCCAGCGTGTTAATGTTTTATCCCATGTGCCTTCCTTTACTGTTGGAGGCAAAACGTCGTTGGCAATGTTGAATTTGGTCTAGGTTTCAGCTACCAGGAAGTTCGATTCGTTTTAGTTCTTCCTTTTGAAATTTGTTGCGGCTAGAAAGCCACCTTTTTAGAATCTTGCTGTTCTGCTTGCTCTAGCGTATCCAGAACTTCTTCGGTAGATCGCCCATGTTTTGCCTCCTTTTGTGGAGAGGAGTCAGGGCATAAAATCACAGCCAGTGATCGAGTCACCAACAGGCGTCACTCGATCACGTCAAACAGCACGCCGTTTTCTGGCGCACGCGAGCCGTTTTTTGTCCCAGGACCCCGGACGGCCTAATAGAGTCACAGTGCGACTTTTTGCCAACACAAGATTGATGCTGGCGTAGGACGGCACGGCTTGGCTGCGGCTGAGGGGTGTCGCGTGTCGGTGAAGGCCTCGAGACCCCGGAGTCCTGCAGCATTGTCCAGTGTCACCCCCTACCACAAACACATGCCCAGGATTACTAACGAGAGAGGGACGTGCCACATGCAGCTGAAGCAGAAAGAAACGGATCGGGGTCGGGAGGCGTGGAAATAACGAATCGCGAGCGGAATGAGTGCCACGGAGATGACCAATTTGGACGCGAATAACATATTACGGTCAATTTGGGAAGTGATTCATAAGACACGGCCACTCGGACCGTAATTTCACGACCGTTGTAGCATCATTGCCGTGACCACGCCGTACGTTCGGTGTCAGGACCATGACCACACTCATAGCATGACAGGCTCAAAAAAGCATTCACCGTCATTATTACGTGATTGCGACCTTTAGCGGGCGTCTCACCTTTAGAGGAATGTTTCAAAACATACCCTAGTGAAGCATTATGACACCTTATGGCTATAACAATAAAGACACGCCTAATGATCGCGCTAGGTAGTGCCACTGCAGGACCGTTGAGACATAATAGGGCGATCAATTTTCACGATTGATGAGTCCAAATTACACTGTCAACGCCTTGTAACGGCGCTACGTTTCTTCCCTGCGGTCGCAACTGCTGTCGTCATGCCAGCCACCGTGAGCACCTGGTGCGAATAAAAGACTTTCTGATTGGCCCAGCGGGTAAGACCATGTTACCGATTAGTTGGTTGGTTGCAGATTAAGCCAGTGCGCGACATGGATATGTCATACGCTCCCGAAGCCAGAGTGCGCATCGAAAACAGCGACTGTGGTGGGCGCCACAGAGATTAAAGTCGTAGCATAATGTTTCGTTGAATTCGCGGGGGTAAAAGTCTCATCTTCGCATATCTTTTTGTCTTAGAAGGATGCATTTTTTCGTAGCATTTATTGCACAAACACTTTGACACATGAGTGTTTTGTAAACATCACTGAATACACAGACTGGGAAAAGTAACGCGGATGGGATGTGTTGCTTGGACGTAGTGAGCAGGAAGTCAACAAAGATTTTTCCCGCAGGGTCGGGAACTTCAAATTGCCACTATGGGCTATCTAGACGGTTTTCGAGAAAATCTGTATCACTGATCAAAGCATACGCGTCTGATGTAACAATAAGTAAAAAGCGAAAAAGGTGGGATAATGGGATCATGACTTCAAATGATGGAAACAATCGAGGCAATGAAATGAGGCGAAGGGTTTGTGCAATGAACGAACACTTATGACGGAGCGAGCGCTCCCAGCGAGCAGGGCAGCTGCATTACTGAATCTTTAAAATGCCACATATCTATATGCACTTCACATGAATCGCGCCTGGCACAGCATAGCAAATCGTGTGCACAAAGAAAAGGGTTTGCAAAACAGTCCCGTTACGCAAGCAAATGCAGATAGCCTTGGTGAAGTAATCTGATTACCCAACTGAAAAATATTTTGTCTTAGAACGTCTTTTTATGTCATTACTTTATCATATCGCAGGTGCGTGGCTCAACTTCCTGCGATATCGGCCCTCCTACCAGCGTAGGCGACGCCATATGACCTTAATTGCGGAGTGATTCACAAATCCCCAATGACATACCAAGAACCATGAAATATTCACATGCAATACATATACTTCAAACCTTGAGGTACATACCTTTTGGGGAATGAATATCACTCCAGGGTTTGTTGCTGCTTTACAGCTGTATCTAGCAGCGGACACCATTTTCCCCTCTTGCCATTGCAAGAATCGTGTTCGAACCTCCCGTGGCGGCAGTCGGAAGACCATGTTTGGTGCATGAAGGCTTAGGCTGCTTGGCTGGCTGCCAGCACGGCGGACTTGTGCAGCTGAGGCCGTTTGGTTACGGAATCAATCTCTCGGGGCTCTCCGTAGACGAACGTCGAGTCACGTGTGCACGCCAGGCGGACATCGAATCACGTGTGCACCGTGCACCAACCGTGCAGCCGCGCTGGAGCCGACCCTGGCTGGCTTGCACTGCACCGCGGCGCAGGCCTGCGTCGCAGTCCTGTGACCTTGACCTTGGCTGGCCTGCACCGTGGCGCGGTCCTGTGACCGTGTCATCGCGCCGCCGGCGGTGGTCCCACATACGGCGCACTGCGTCTGTCACAGCGGTGTGATATATCTTCTGCTGCATGCTTGTCCCAACTGTTGCACCACAGCCCTAGCACAGCCATCGCACCCCTAGCATGCATGTGAACCTGTACCAACGTGCGTCCCGGTTGTCATGTCGTGTGCATTTCACACATCAGTGTAAGCTGACCAATGTGAGCAGGAGGTCAGTGTGCGTGCAGGGCTCCGGCGGCCGTGAGCGACGACCCTTACACGGTATGCGCGTCCGTGCTTCAGGCTACGCCTACATCATCGCGCCGTGGCTGGCGCTGGTGGCGGAGTCGCTGGAGATGTTCACGCTTCACCTGGCCTGGATGGCGGCCGTCCTCTTCACCATCCGGCCAGAGCTCGCCCGCCATCGAGGCCACCACACAGGCCGTCATCACCGTCTGCCACTATGGCATAGGTCAGTGGATGGGGGATGTCTCTGGAGGTCGACAGACGGTCACCAACGTCTGCAACCGCAGCATATGTCAGTGACGAGGGATGGCGCTGGAGGACGACAGACGGTCATCACCGTCTGCCACTAAGGCATAGGTCAGTGAATGGGGATGTCGCTAGAAGACAGCCATAGACGGTAACCAACGTCTGCCAATGCGGCATGGGACAGTGGATGCGGAAAGCCATGCAGTGGCGAAGTAGCTCCGTCGGGACCGGTTCGGCTTCCAAGCTGGAGGCCCGGGATGGAGTCCCGGCTGACGCCTTAGCTTCTGGCCTCTGGGAACAAAAGCCGGAGCGGTCGCAGTGGCCTCTGGTGATAACCGGCTGCTGGTAGGCGGCTGCGCTCCGACCTGCTGGTAAACGGCTCCGTTCCGACCTGCTGGTAAACGGCTCCGCTCAGAACTGCTGGTAAGCGGCTCGGCTTCGATCTGATGGTAAGCGGCTCCGTTCCGACATGCCGGTAAACGGCTCCGTTCCGACCTGCTGGTAAGCAGTTCCGCTCCGACTTGCTGGTAAGCGGCTCCGCTTTGACCTGCTGGTAGGCGGCTCCGCTCCGACCTGCTGGTAAGCGGCTCGGCTCCGACCTGCTGGTTAGCAGTTCCGCTCAAACCTGTTGGTAAGTGTCTTCGCTCCGACCGGCTGGTAAGCGGCTCCGCTCCAACCTGCTGGTAAGCGGCTCCGCTATGACTTGCTGGTAGGCGGCTCCGCTTTGACCTGCTAGTAGGCGGATCCGCTCCTACCTGCTAGTAAGCGGCTCGGCTCCGGCCTGCTGGTAAGCGGATCCGCTCTGACCTGCCGGTAAGCGGCTGGTAAGCAATTCCGCTCAAACCTGCCGGTAAGTGGCTCCTGCTTCCACCTACTGGTAAGCGGCTCTGCTCCGACCTGCTGGTAAGCGGTTCCGCTCCGACCTGCTGGTAAGCGGCTCGGCTCCGACCTGCTGGCAAGCAGGTCCGACTCCAACCTGCTGGTAAGTGATTCCGCTTCGACCTGTCGGTAAGCAGTTCCGCTCCGACCTGCTCGTAACGAGGGCAGGTCGAACATCGGTTTAAGGCAACGTCAAAACTATATGAACCGGCTTCACACTAACGAAAATGCCCACGAAGGCTCATAGCTCCGCTGCTAGCATACGCGCGCACTTAAGTCTCGTCGATAACTCGAACTTAACGAAATTTCCACCCAAGAGGTCACCAGTTGCTGAACACGCATTGTTTATGGGACGTGCGCATATGGTGCATGGATTCATGCCTCGCTTTGATGACCAGTGAGTGCTGGCCACCATTAGAGCACGCCGATAGCTTTTGTCCCTTTCATTGGTAAGTAATGGTAGATTTGCGTTGCCAACTTACTGCTAATATCTTATTCTTGTCGTCATATCGTCATGTGGACCGTATGGCAAACGCTGGCTTTATATGATTTCGGCCTCAACATGACTCCGGGAATAGTCTTCCAAATGGAAGGTTCACTTCTGAAATCGATTCGAGTGGCATCCTCACGGCGACAACAGCTACATGGTCATGGTCACAACATCCATCAGCTGGGGACCATATGCGATCAGTGGTGGGGAAACAGAAGCTGTGAGCTCATAACAGCCCACATACAGCGGTCATATTATTTTCGTTTTGTTTGCTTTCCACATAAGGTGTCGGGAATGCCGAGGATGCCCTCCGTGGTTTATATTTGAGCCGATTCGTCATAATCTGCAAACCAATTCGGATGATATAGATTCGAAATGCATCAGCGTTCGAGGGGATATTTTCTTTCCACCTTGACACAAAACAGATGAGACAGACATCGACGCCGTCTGTCGGGAATATAGCACGGCTCTAGAGACTCTAATGCATATCACCCGCCTATCAAACACCTGGCCACAGAATTTAACGATCTGAGCTATTTTTTGCCTTATGACATCGACTCATTGTCTGTATACATGTTACCCAAACCCCACGCATAACTTTCTACATTTTACAAAATTTGGGCTGTGAGGCGCAGTACACAACCGTGCTGCGCCACAACTGCCGAGGTTTCTGCCCCCAGTTACGTGGCGCCGCCCGGCTTTGCTGTGGCGGGCTCGTCGCTACGGGGCAGCTCAGCTCCCGAAGCTGCCTTGATCGCGGCCGCCGACCCAGCACGGCCATAAGCAGGGCCATAACGGTACTCGGTCGGGGCAGATCCGGCAAGCCAGTCGGCACCGGCTGGACGGCTCGGATCGCCCCGCTCTCTGTCCGCGAGACGGCGGCCCTTCGCCCCGGAGGGTGTCAGGCCATTGGATCAGCTGGCCTGCCTGTCATGTCTCAGTCCCTTCGCTGTTCAGCCAATGTGATTGCTCTGTCTTGTGAGATCATTTCTTCTTTAAGTCATCAAGATGGAACGCATGTGCATTATGTGCACATGCATGGATATGCATACGCTATGTTACCAGCGCGTACCAGTGCGTATGCTCACCGGTGCATGCCGTTGTTTTGGCGTTCTAAGTTAGGACCACAGCACACGAATTGTGAAATTGCGGAACGTACATATTTCCTGAAATCGTCATGGGTAATCGTTGTCGGGCCAACCGTCCTACGCCAGAATCTATCACGCTAGAAAGAGATGACCATGAGCTCGAAATATGTAGCAGCGCTCTCTCAATCGAAGGTGAAAAACTTACGTTTACTCCTGATGTTCTTCTTGGTTCAGCTGCTTTATTAGGCGATAATACTCAGCGGTTGAGTTAACAATAATGATGCGAAGGTTTACGATAAGTGAAATTTAAAACCTACGAATAATCTAACAAATTAAAGAGCTCCATGACCGCATGTAAAACTGTGCTGTGCAAGTGAAGGCGAACACCACAAGATAAACAGACGCCTGTGCTGAAAAAGATGAAAACTGTCTTTAAAAAATGCTTCAAATTTGGTGATATTAAAGTAATCATCACACATAATGAAATAAGTTCACTTAAAATTTTAGGTGTATTTAAGCGGAAAAGAATGCTCTTAAGCGAAAAAGAGTGCGACAAAACAATTGCTTAGCTAAGTACATATGGTCCTGGAAGCGTAATTGTATGATTACGTCATCGTACCTTGCACAAAACTGAAGAAGAGCCAATTGGCGGCTATATTGGAAATCATATGCACGAACGTCAGATGTGAATGACTCGATCATTGCATTTTTATTGGCCTTGATCGTCGCATGGCTTATGGAATGACAGAATTTGAATGACGTTATTATCATGTTATGTATACCGTGGTGGCCTAAAATACTCTCCCCGAAATAGTCTTCCCATCTTCGTGGAGATGTAGCTCAGATGCTAAGGGGGTTTATGTCTTAATATCAGGGCTGATAACTACACTGAATGATTTTCAAGATGGCTATTTCAGGTCAAAACCCCATACAGATGTACATAGAACACCCCTTTAACACTATGGGACACGACCCCATAGCAACCCGACAAGCGACTGGCGCTGCTCGCTTGATGCAACTCAAGGCTTTGGCCGGTATATTAACAATGGCACATTTGCACCATTGCCCGTGACGGCCGTTTCCTGCGGTTCCGTAAAATGCCCCCTGGTTTTTTACCTCTACCTATTGTGACACAAGGCTTTAAAGGGATCGCTGCTTTTGTGTGATATACATCAATTCTATGTGTACCTGGATCCTCAAGTAAACTGGTGCTATATTTATCCTCCGTATCCAGCGTATTATCGCATAGGTATAGGTTCGTTTTCGTGCTGGTAATGCCTCCCATTACTTCAATGCAACAAACTCGCATACGTCATTTTGCAAGTACGTATCTGATGCAAATCATGCACCTTCTCGCACATACAGCTGAGTTACATTGTTCGGTTATGTTTGGCATAGGTGGCAAAAGCACGTTATACTGTTTATTTCTCACATAGCCTACATTATTTTTGGCATGTGCATGCATGCACATGACATCCGCGGAAATGTACACGGTTTCCAAGATTTCTTCACGGGAAGCGGCTCCTGGCTTCTAGTTTTGGAAGATGAAAGAGCTGGGGGAATAATTTGACATCAAGTAGGATGCGAGAAAATTAGCACGGCACGTACTTGTGCTTCTTTGATGACTTCATATGACAGGCTCACCATCATTCCCGCGCATTGTTCTTACCGTAGGTGCAGAGGTGCGCACGAAACCCTCTAAAGGTCAACATGTGCCTCGATGTGAGTGCACTCATCTTTATGGTGCACGATAAAAACAACTGCGCGGGTCGTGTGGGCGCCTGTGGTGGTGAAACGTCCGCCAAACATCCTTGTTACCGGGAATCGCAAACCGCCCACTTCCCAGCTCCGACAAACATTCCCTCTGCCGAGCTCGGAGTGCATGATTGTGTGTTTTGCTCTGGGTGTCAATCACCGGTGGCGACCCCTGACTGCTGTGGGCTCGAGTTGGGCACGTCATCTGGCGCACCAACGGCATTATCCTGATGATCCGGTTTCTGCTCGTCCGCGGTGTGGTACCGCTTGGCGCCGTCTGTTTTGGCGTCGCTGACCTGACCCACCAGACCAGACCATCCGGTCTGGTGTCGTTGATCTGGTACCTGGCCGAACCTTTTCAACACAGGTCCCCGCATTGTGTGCGGACGGGTGATGCCCGCTGTGCTCACCCGGCTCGTGTGGCCTCAAGTCCGGTCCCGGGGCTGGGGCGGTACGGTACCTGCTGATCTGACCCGTGTGACTTCAAGTTGCGGTCCCGGGCCAGGGCGGGTACGGTAACCTGCTGATCTGACCCGTGTGGACCTTAGGCCGCGGTCTGGTGCTGGCGCGGTGCAGTACTCGCTGATCCGACCCGCGTGACCTTGGTCGCGGTTCTGGGGCTGGCGTGGTGAAGCACCCGCTGATCTGACCCGTGTGACCTCAGGTCGCGGTCTGGGGGCCGGCGTGGTGCGGTACCTGCTGCCGCTGACCTCCGGGTTCCTGCTGCTCTGCGCCGGCTCAGTGCTGGCGGCCGCCTCCTCTGTGCTCTACATGCTCATCTACTACTGCTGCCGAACGCTGCCGCCCCGCCGGCACAGCTATGGAAGACACAAGCGGGAGATGTACAGCAGTAGCGGTGAGTGGCGCCACGTACCGGCCGAGCCCACATGATGCTCGCGTCGGGTCCTGGACCCGATCCGGGAGACGCGGGAGCTCCCGGGGCTGCACAGCGAGGCGTCAGTGGTCCAAAAGTTGGAGGGCGAGGGAGGAAAGCGGTATAAAACATTGAAGGTCACTTTGATTTGGAGCTCTAATTCTTTCCGCAGCTTGCTAAGCATGATCAACTTTTAAGATGTCAAACCTTATGAGTGGGGTCTGGGTCTGGCCGTCCTTATGTGATGTTTGATTCGCTTGCTGATCGGTGCTTTTTCAACCCCCTTTTGGGCCTTACAACACTGGCACAGTACTTTTTTTCTATTCTGAAGTTCTGGGTCGGCGGGCAAGACTTGTTGCCGAGTCGGAACGCCAAAAATTAAAACTGAAATCCGCAAAAATACTTTGAGTTATCACTGCTCAGCTCACGTGAAGAGGTTGCATGCATGCCATATGTGCCATTCCAACCACACACCAGTTCTCAAACTGGTATTACACATCAAGCACAAGCAACAGGAGCTCATCACATTGGAACATAGGGGTGGTGAGTGTGTACATTTTGGGGATGGACATAATCCAGGGAGGTATTCCTTGGACACTGAGTTACCTTGTCGCTGCTGCTTCTTACGATGAAGTACGTCCTTTTTAAAATGTTTTCACTCCAAGGATGTCATTCGGTCACTTGTCCATTGCCTGTACTAAGCGCCGAGTCGTGTTCACACTGACTACTGTTCGACAGGCGCCATGCTGAACGGAACGTACGCGCCACTGACAGCAGCGCCACAATGGCGTCTGAGACGTGCGCCCCGAGCTCTCCAGCCGACCGGCAGAGCTCCCCAGCCGACCGGCAGAACTCCCCAGCTGACCGACAGAACTCCCCAGCCGACCGGCAGAGCTCCCGCAGTTGACCGGTAGAGCTCCCCAGCCGACCGGCAGAATTCCCCAGCCGACCGGTAGAACTCCCCAGCCGACCGGCAGGACCCTGCAGCATATGGGTGAGCTCCCCAGCCGACCGGCAGAATTCCCCAGCCGACCGTAGAACTCCCCAGCCGACCGGGCAGGACCCTGGCAGCATATGGGTGAAGCTCCCGCCGACCGGCAGAACTCACTAGCCGACCGGCAGAACTCCCCAGCCGACCGGCAGCCGTTCCCCGCCGACGACCGAGCTCCGCAGACGCCGCTGTCCACGCAGTGAGTCATCAGGCAGCTTGTCGCCAGCTCTGTTGCGGAAACGGCTCACACCAAGGCCACAGACCGCCGATACCTGAATGACTTTGGAGAAGGCAGGGTCCGTACACACCGCACTGCCCATGCCGACGACAGCTAGAGTCAGAGCCGCCATACCACAACGTCGCACTGACCACAGCTGGAGTCGGAGGTCGGAGTCGGAGTCGGCAAGCACGGTCCGACGCCGGTGCGTGCCCTGGAGGTGGCCGCTGCCCTCTGTCGCCCGGAGGTCTCCTTTGAGACAGCGCCGCTAGTGTCACCATCTCTTGTCGGCGCCGTCCCGTGGTGGCAACGCGCGCGCGCGCGTGTTTGTGTGCGGAGGACTGTGTCAACAGCCCTGTGACACGCGCCAGCTGACACTCGTGAGTGGATGGAAAGGCGCCGTTGACAGCGAGCCGGCGCGTGAGAGGTCAGCGTCATCGGACCACACCGCCATGACACGAGCAAATGGTTTGCTTTGAAAACCTCGTGTCGTTGGCCGGATTAACGTCAACGCTACAATAACGATAGTTGGTAGCGTCAAGGCGATACATGTGCACTGAATTTGCCGGACACAGGATAGCCGCCCACGCGCTGCCACCAGCGGATCGCCCGTTCGCAGTGTCTGGCGCTGTAAGTCATGCAGTTACTAGAGATGGGTTGCATCTTGTTAAATGTGAAAGGTTTTGATTTGTCTTACCAACCTTGTATTACATATTAGTTACGGTGTCTTCAAATGCATTTTCATGATCATGTCATGTTGTTAGCATATATAAGAGCGTAGTTGGTGGATTACAGATTATGCCCTGCCACGATTCCCTGCGGTTTTACTCAGCGGTGACTTTCTTTTAAAGCTTTGTTTTCAAACAGCTGACAGTCGCCCCCGTGTCGTAGTCGGCCAAGACACCGATCCCGCTCCACTTGTGCGCCGAGCGGAAGCGTCGTCGACGACTCAGTGACCACACATTAACGCCTGCTATGTCCACTGGGGCCATGTCAACCGCACAGCTGATTAAGCCGCGCGCGAAGTGATTGTTTTCCTTTTTGTTTTGTTTTTCAAATACAGAAGCATCCACGGTCTGGCGTGTCGTGTGATATCGCTTCCTCCCAACACCGAATCAACATGCTTGATATTTTCCAAAAGGAGGAGACCGATGTGATCTGGCGGATGCCAGGTCCCACCTTGCGGGTCTGTCATGGATCCAGTCTTCGGATCGGCATTGATAGCAGCGAGTTTGCGGATCTTTGGATCGATTGATCGCGTCACTATGCGGTTATGCTGTAATATTTTCGGTGCTAAATCAAGCACCGGTTTCTTACGGCATCGTAAACCATCGCAACGTCATGCCAACTGGTCGTCGAACATGAGAGCCATGAGAGCCCTTCCTGCCAGGGTGAGAGGCAGGCGACGCCATATAGCCTTAGTAGCTGGGTGCGTCCGTAAAGCCCCAATGACAGACAGACGCAGACAGAACATGAGAGCCTAATGCGGGAGCACCGAAAACAATAAGCACAACTAGGTCCAGATGACAACACGGGGTTGCAACGTCACCAAACCACAACGTTGGGCGAGACACAGATCATACATTTATCACGCTTTGCCATCGAGTGGTTATTCGAGGGTCACCGCATTCTTGCAGAAATATAACTTGTCACTGTTAACATTACAGTCAAAGTTGTCACTCAACTGATTGTCACCCAGCTGGCTGGGTTTGACTGGATATGAGTTGACTGAACTGTCACGTGAGTTGACATATCAGGACCACCTTGCATGCTCGGTAAGCTTCCCATTAACAGTCTGCTGACTTCTTCTTTCTCTACGATTTTTTACAAGCCTGATGTATTGATAAACCAAGAACTAACGGCACAATCTGGAGACCTCTCAGTGCTTGATGTGTCCTTCTCACAGAAAAGAAGGGATACTTTTGCATGACTACGCTCACACAACTTGGGATTAGAATATATATATATATATATATATACGGACTGCTTTCTTAGAAGCCATGGCATGTGCGGACTTGTAATACAGTATAATTAGAGCGGTCATGGTTTGAAATCAAACATTTAATTCGTACTTTTTGGTAGGATATGTTTCTGTGATGTGAGCCCACGCTAAGCGGCTCTTGTTTGGTGAGCCCTGGCCTGATCGTAAACTTCCGAGTCAACGGCAGAACTTGGCAGCGAAAGCTTAACGCGCCGACATGACCGGCACAGTCCATCCTGCCCTCTGGCGCCAGCTGACCGTCAGAGCGGCCGTCGTCACTGGCCGCGGGCTGCCCCAGTCGGTGACCTACAGTGAACCCGGCAGTCGAACCCACCGCGCCGCAGGTCTGTGAAATGGAAGGCGAGGCACTCTTACCAGCTGAACTGTCGGGATGGACTAAAGTTAACTGCGGGACGGGACGATTTAAAGTGCGGCCCGGCGGTGTATCTTCCACCTCGTACCTCAAACGGTGCCGAGGAATGGAATCAACATTTTGTGAGGTGTGTCCAAGAGGTGCTGTGGACATTGGTATTGGAACACTGTTGACAGACTTCGCGAAGAGCTCTGACCATGACCGCAGCTTCGAGACGTCGAATTTCGTCAAGATAGCGCAGCTTCGAACGTCGAGTTTCATCAGTATAAGCGCAGTTTCGAGACGTCGAGTTTCGTCAACATAGCGCAGCTTCGGGACGGCGAGTTTCGTCAATACAGCCAATGCTCTTTTGATAGCGCCGTTTAACCACTTACTCCTGCCTATACCGAACGTCGATTATTTTCATCATGAGAACGCCGAACTCATCACACCGAAACACTTAATCCACAGCCTGCGTTGCTTATATCAACTTCCATCAGGTGTTCAAACGTTGGACGTTAGCTACGTTGAATAAATAGGGTGCTCCATGTTTTGTGTTGGGTTTCGAACTGAGGTAGCCATTTTGAAGATCTTCCGGTGCAGTTCACAGCCCTGCCCGTATTACAATCTTAAAACCATCTGAATTCTGAACTAGACATTCACGAAATTGCGGAACTACTTCAAGGTCACCAAAGCATGCATAGCGCTACAGACACGTCTTTCAAACATTGCCACCTTGTTGGCCATGCGGCGTCCAGGGCCAAGGCAAGAACAACCATTGGCGTATTCGCGTCTGGCGTACGTGAACATGATTTCTGGAGCCGAAGAACTCCAACAGACACAGATACAATTGCATAGGTCGATACAAATATTACCACTAGTAAAGGCCTCACGGCATGAAATAAAACGTCCTTCGGTGGTCAGGAAATAAACCCGAAGCAATGACAGGACTGCAAACTGGCTGTGGAATGGACACAACCACAGGTTAAAAACCTAATACATAGCATCCCCACCGCAGATCACCTCCGCGTTTGCGATGTTTTTTCCGCTATCCCTACCGACGATACATCCTGAGCGCTCCACTCGTGCCATCTGTCGGCCACGGCGGGAGTCAACTGGCTCGTGGAACACGGTGGACAGACGCACGAATGACGCGCGGTATAAGGTCGCTTACATACAGCAGCCGAGAAAACGGAGAGAAACAGGCATCCACCCTGCCCGAGATGCGCTTACTTTGATAACAACGCTCTTGCACCCATCCCAACACTGACCAAGGCTCTCATGTATCTATTTTAAATGCGTAAAACCGGTGACTTTCTGGAACATATCACTGTAGGCACTGGTCGCAAACTTATGGCGGTTTTCGGCAGCAAGAAGCCCAATTTTAGGCGTTGTTTAAGTATTGATACGTATCTCAAAACCTAAATCAGATGGAGGTGCTAAGCAACAGCACGGACAAAAAAGTACCAAAAGTAGGGGAAAACACCATCTACAAATCACTACCGGACCTCAAAAACCGTAGGGCAAGTAATCGACCGGAAAGCAACCAAAGTTGGTCTGCTTTTTTAATAGCGCGAGACACGTTGTCACGCTCCTTTTATACAGCGTCAGCGACTGCATTCGTCATGTCAAAGCTCAGGGCTCACGGGGCAACCGGGGTTAGAAACTGGGCTACCTCGTGTGAGTTCCAGGTGCTTACCACCTGGCCATGACGCCCCCCGTGTCAGTCTGCTGATTTACAGCGTTAGATACATACGAATGGGGCAAATCAAATGACGTCAATAACAAGATTTGCAAAAAGAAGCAAAAACAAAAAACACTCACGTGCACACGTTGACGAGGGTCATTGTGACGTAATCCGGGCATTACAACGCACTCTGATCATGAGACTATATGGCATCGCCTGCCTCTCACAAGGCCGGCGCCACGGGAATTGAACTCCGTACCTCTGGTCCCCAGGCGCGCAGATGCACCAAAATACACTAACGGTACCCTCGGTGAGGGATCTTAAAGTGCATTTCAAGATCCATCGGCAAATGTCTCTAAAGACGGCTGGTTCCACTTAGAGATGGTCTGTATCATCTCCATGAATATCATACTTCCGTTTGCTATGACCCAATCACCCCACGCTGCCAGCGCCCCACTAAGGCAAGTTGCGCAGCTCTGTCGTCGACAACAATGTAGCTATTCACTCTTTTCACCGATATATCTAATAATGTTCTGTTTCAAACCTCCATTCTTTGAAGCTCACTCTATCCGTCAGAACATCTTCCTGACAAAAAAAAACAAAACACAAGTTGGTCGGTCCGTTTTCACAGCTGTATTAGAACTGTGGCACACACCAAACCAAGTGGCCATATCACTTCCACATAACCAGCACATACACCCCGAACGTCTAGCTCGCCGCCGGCAGCCGCTCAAACGGCCGTCGAGATGGCCTCCGTGTACTTCTTGATCCTCGAGGCGATCGACATGTCCACATACTTGTCGCCGACGGTGACCACCATGGCCACCCACGATGGCAGGGTCCACCTTGGTGGAGTACTTCAGCACCTCGCCCTTCTTGAGGAACGCCTTGAGCGTGGCCTCCACTTCCTTTTGGCCGGCGGCGTCTAGCGGCTTGGCTGTCGTCAACCTCGCACACCACCTGCGGAGCGGTCAGAGGTCAGGGACGGGACATCTCAGCGGCCACCTGCGGAGCGGGCAGTGGTCAGGGACGGGACACCTCAGCGGCCACCTGCGGAGCGGTCAGTGGTCAGGGCGGGACATCTCAGCGGCCACCTGCGGAGCGGTCAGTGGTCAGGGACGGGGGCACCTCAGAGCACATCACCTGCGGAGCGATCAGGGTCGTGGGTGGGCACCTCAGAGCACACCACCTGCGGGGCGGTCAGTGGTCAGGGACGGGGCACCTCAGAGCACACCACCTGCGGGGCGGTCAGTGGTCAGGGACGGGGCACCTCAGAGCACACCACCTGCGGAGCGGTCAGGGTCAGGGCCGGGGCACCTCAGCGGCCGCACCGCAGCATGCAGTCGCTCAGAGCACACCACAGCCCTGCAGACTACCTGACACGAACGCTCCCTCCAGGAATTGTACCTAAACGATGCACTTGCGCACTACCCTAGGCACACGAAAACCGTGGTGCCACGGCACGAGACCGGCGCAGGTTCCTGAAGATACACTTCTGCGCGCAGGCGATGAACGAAGCTGCCACTGGCGCCACCTGCTGTGCACATACGAAACCTTCCTTTTCAACGAACGACATCCCAGCCTCGGCCTTTCAGCGTTTGCCGCTCACCACACGATCCTCGGACGTGCACGTCATACTCACACGGATCTCGGAAAAGGAGTGGCGGTTAGCTATTTGCCGATGACTCCACATGATCGTAACAGACAGATAAACTTCGGGGAAAAACGTTATGATGGATGCACAAAGATCTATGCTCTTCCAGGACCGTGGCGAGGAAAACGACACTAGGGCAAGAGGTAAGCAAGACATGTGGACACCGCAAGCAGGGCGAGGGACAGTAGGTTATGGGAGGCCTACAGTGGTTCGACAAGATAAGTACTGCAACAAAAACTCCTACAGATGGGAGCATGTTCCGACATTGCTTTTGCTGTCAACACTTATGCACGACATTAGTACCACACCACCATACAGCTTAAACAGGAAAAATGTATACCTGTCATCACTTACACTGCAAGAGCTTATGCACATATTACACACGAAAACTGCATCTACTGCAGACTTATACGCAACACTGGTACCACACCACAAAACCCATACCTATACAGACATTACAACACACCTGTGAAACCAGACTTACAGACATCACGCACGCCATTTCATGCAGCGCAGACTTATACGCGACATAGGTAATTCGCCACAAAGCCTATGCTTCAAAAACTTACACCCATTATTACATATTCTGCAACATCGTGTACAGTCCTTGCTTATGTACATTACTTCCACTGCAAGGACTCACATGCAACAGGAGTGCAACAAGACAAAACTCGTGCTTACAAAATGCATGGCTGTCATTACTTTTACCGCAAGAACTTGTGCATTCTTGACATATAATGAACACCTCCTATATCTCCGATCACCCAACATACTTTCTGTAGCGTGCAAAATGCGTGGACACTTAGCAGGAGTGTGGGAACAACTCGCAGGTCAGAAGGGAACCCCAACTCAGTCGGGGACCCCACCCACCCTCATGTGTGACAGGAATGTGTGTCACATTCTGAACAAACGCCTTATTCATACATTTTGGAGCAGGTTTGGCATTCATCCAGGCTGAGCCCAAACTTATTTTGCCAAACTGCGGCACAACAGCGTACGTTTGTCAGTAGACGCAATGTTAGGTCGAGCCATTGCCGTCGTAGGTCTGTCCATCACAACAATTACGCCAGGGTTGACGTGCCAACACCATGGAGTGGGCACCCGTAATCTGATTTCATTCGTCCCCGTGCACCCATGTGTTCGTTACCTCCGGGACTTTGGCGAGGCTTAAGGGCTGCAGGCTGATGGCTGGATTTCAATTTAGTCGTGCAGCACTAACTTACATGTTGGGGTAAAATTGCCTGTTGCACGTAAGTAATACTGTATAAATCTTTGCTGAGGAAGCCAAGGCGGGGGTACATATTTTTGCAGCATGAGTTTTGTCATGTGACAGTCATGTACTAGATGGGTTTTGCACCAGAAGAAATATCCTGTATGAGTAAAGAATATACAACATTTTGCAATCCATGAAATAGCAGGCATATGTTTTTGAGGCACACATTCTGTCATGCAGCACCCATGTTCTGTATGTCTTTAGAGTAGAAATAATGCAGCATGTGGTTCAGGTCTACATAACATCAGGTCTCCATAAAACTGGTGTCAGAGCAGTAGACCCCTGCCAGTAAGTTTTTGACTAATGACTGCACTCTTGGGACTTTTACTAGCCACTACACACCAAATCAACAGAGAACTGGTCACTCGGGCTACTGGAAATCCCTTGGCCATGGGTTTAAGTCAAGAACATACAAAGTTCCCACTGACAGAACACTACAAACACAACAAAATGCTCATGATTCCAGCCTGCCACACTTCTAGTTTCGTGCTTGTGCTGCTGTGCTGTTTCAGTGGTTTGACATGGCATGGACTCACCTCACCACGGTGCGCCGCCATCAGCGTGCGGAAGGAGGTGGCCACACTGTCCAGCTTGTTCAGACGGCCATTCTCGGCCATCAGCAGCAACAAGTTCTTGGTTGAGTCTGCTGTCTTCTTCTTAGTAGCCACCATCTCCATGGCCTGTCGCTTGGCTTCCTTCTGCAGGGTGGGGTTCAGCACAAAGTTGCGGAACATAGTGTCGGTCTTCAGGAGGTCCTGCACCTCAATCAGGTCCTTTTCCCACCTTGTCCAGTGACTTGGACTTGCTGGCAGCCGAGTACAGAGCAGAGGCATAGCGGCCCTTCGATGCCATACACCTGCCAAGAAATGATGGCATGAAGCTGACTGTGCAGAAGTAAAGGCTGCCTAACTACATGCAATAGAAGGGTGACACATGGGGTTGAAGGTTATCACATAAGTGACAGCATGATTGTTTGAAACATGGGTAACTTGTACTTCTTTAGTGGAATGGCACCTAGCACAGTCATTTTCAGCCTGATTTCAGTTGACCAAAGGTTAATTTTTTGATGCCACAAATTATGAGTCACACCCAAGAGATGCGACAAAACTCAAATGCTGGCAATCTAGCTTACTACTTTTGTACCAAATGCATATAATGGTGGGGGCTAACACACTGCCATAGTGCTGGGGCATGGTTAAGTATTCCTTTCTCACAGAACAATGGGTTCATGTTAAACAAAACACACAAAATAAATCATGTGCCACATGATGCAAATTGCAGGCAAAAACCTGCACACCACATGAATCAAAAGATCAAACAACCTGACAAACATTTGCTATAAAGTAATGTTTTAGTCATATTAATATCTTCAGGAAGCTGAGTCTAATGAGAACAATCCATTTACCAACAATAGACCTGCCCTTAAAAATACAAAAAGTTATAAGATTGAGAACATTTGTGACTTTGCCAAGTCTTCAACTGCAACAAGTCTCTTTTGTAACAAAAATAACAGCTTTTGAGCCTTGCATTACATGCCTTAAAAGAAGGCTACACTTATACACCCTCCCAAACGGAAGATGGATACGCACCACGCTTATACACCATCCAAAACGGAGGACGGTTACGCATCGGGCTTATACACCCTCCAAAACAGACGACGGTTACGCATCGGGCTTATACACCCTCCAAAACGGAGGACGGTTACGCATCGGGCTTATACACCCTCCAAAACGGAGGACGGTTACGCATCGGGCTTATACACCCTCCAAAACGGAGGGTGGTTACGCACTGGGCTAGTATATCCTCCAAAAAGCTTTCAGGGGTAGCATGCGCCAAGCGTACACAGACTGCCAGTCTTAAAGGAAAGCAGGGCCAGACATGTAGAACCTCGTGCGAAAACTCGGCTCGATGCGTTATATGCATGAGACGATCGCGAAGCCCATCAACCCACTCTGAGCCAGTTCTTCTCTGATCATAGATTATCGTCCACCGGGTCTGGATCCACGGTGGATGGGTGGTTAGTGTACCGGTCTCACGCGCTGTAGACCCCGGGTGCGAATCCCAACGACGGCCACTCTCCAGTGGGCGGCTTTACAGTGTATCGGACCGGCATGACACTTCCTTGCTTCACTCTTAAACGGGGTAAATTCTAACCTGGGCTTTCATATCGGTCAGAGCGTAGTTTCCTGTGCCTAAGCGAAAGAGTCCACACTCTAGAGATACTAAAGATCCTGTGAACGTTTGCCCGTAAGTCTAAATGAGGCCAGCGAGCTGAATAAACATAGGCACACCTGTTTTCATCTGGTAATGCCAAGCTGTAAGTCATAATCAACTAGGTGAAAAGCTACATGCACACTACCGCTCCGTTCAATCACTTGAAGATCATTTCGTCCCAGCGCGGGGTGTCTACAGCTGCCATTCTGTCAACAGGCAGTTGGCTTCGCGTGGTGGGTTGGCCCGGAGGCCCCCCACAGATTACATCCTACATTGGTGCCCTCCCTGGCGCGGGAAGGCCCTCGGGCGGCCTCTGGCCGGAGCATTTAACTCGGACAGGCGCAAGAGCCCTCATTGGCGCAACAAGATCCCTGATTAACCACAGGTGTTCCAATTACTGGCACAGAGAACCTTATTTGGCCGATGGGACCCTGGCTGAAAATCGCTGAAGGGCCTGCGAGGACCCCAGGTTATCCCTGGCCAACTCGGGGCTCCTTCTGTCATGGGATGCCCTGTTGGGTACTCTGGGGCCTGACCCTCAAAAAGGCCACTGATTTGTTGTAGGGACTCCAACCAATGCAAATTGCAGGCCTTGGCCTCATTACTGCTAGAACAAATGGGGGCCCCAGGCTCAGAACAACACATAGCCAACTACTCAGTGTAGCGGTCTCTGGCCGAAATAGGGGCCCATATTGTCTCAGAGGTCCACAATTGGTGAAAGAGGCATATTGCTTGACATTTGGGGTCATAGTCCTATGGGATAGGTGTGACCTGCAGCCTTCCAACCATTACAGCCATTCAGCCGTCCCATCAGGCTGTTGATAGCCAGTCTTGAAAGGCACACGGCCCCTCTTCAGGCACACATGAACACTCCATGACTGACTCAGGGGCGCTTGTCAACACCTGACTTCCGTTTGGTTGTGCACCCTGGCAGACAGAGACCCCTCGGCGACTCAGGGCGCACAAACAAATAAAGTACTTATGGGTCCTGGCCTTGTCCCTGCTTGGGAAATGGGCTCCCAGACCCAGACAGACACTGAGCAGACTGTTCAATATTGGCAGAGCCTAAGTGACATAGAGAACCTCACGCCTCAGGGGGGCAATTTGAAATTGAGTTTGAGAAGCAAAAAAGTGAAAATAAAAAAGCATCCCAAAACCTATGGCAACATGTAAGTTTCTCCTCAAATTTGGTCTCATTTCTTCTTGAAAGAGCACAATGAGGGGGGGGGGATCCTCAAGGACATAGAAAACTGTACCACTGCCCAGTTTTATGGACTTCAGCTTTTTTCTTTAGACAGGTGTGACATGACCATTGCTTACATCATCATTCAAATTTTGTGGGATAAGGATGTCCATCTTAATCACATCACTGTTCAGGGACACTATGGCCACTGGGATAGCCAGGCCTACCACTTGACAGCCAGATGAGTTAACCACCTGGTCACTGCACCCTCCCATTCAATTTTCTACATGTAGACATACAGAAAATTGCTTTGATTAGACAGTGACAATTAAATGATCATCTCATACCAATATTACATGTTTCTATGACTCACAGCTCTAACTTTTCATCATTTCTGTAAGCAAATTGTTCAATCTGGAGATTTTTGGGGATGCATCATCAATATGCCCAATGTGCAGTCTTGCTCCATTATGGAGAATGCATCAGCCTGATGCCAACCAGCCATCTGTTTTGGAGGGAGTACAAGTCTGGTGCATAACCACCCTCCAATTTGGAGGGTGTGTATATGCTGCCTTAAAACATTGAGCAGCATCAGAGCAACAGCTCCCAGTTAGTAGATGTGAGGCACTACCAGTGGTGCTGCATGTGCATTCCATTCTCATAGTTATGCAACATTTAAGGAAATTAGGGTTTGCATGCTGAGCAGGACAGCATAGAGAATACAATATACTAACAGTATGTAGTTTGACCATGTCGAGCACATTTCCAAGTTACATGCCTGAGCAAGACACCTTAATTCAAGCTCATGGCTGTACCAGTTGGTCAATAACAGTAACAAAATATGCATGTATGTCTCTGCTGACATAGGACAGGCAATAATTTCAGCATAATTTGCTCTCACGTTTAAGACATTTTGTAGCCAAACCATCGCTACACCCAGATACCTATCTATGATGTCGCTGATATATTCATCATATCTGCTGATTCTACGCGGCACTACGAAAACAACAGCTCACCCGGCACTCAAATCCAAAAATCAAGCACACACGGAAGTGGCAAGAGCGCGAACAGCATGATAAATACCTGAATAGGTGTCTTGATCATTGCCCGGGCAATTGGAGAAGTGCTGAGCCGACGGACAAGCGTTAAATTACAGGAAGCCATGTTGCACGCCTTATCCACGCACACAAAACAAACTAAATGCCGTGCACCAAAGAAATTTCACGAAATTTTTACGTCCGGCTTGCACCGTGCAGGGGGCACGAGAGAAATGCGAGGAAGTTGGAGATGTTGTGTTCAGTACCGGTAGAACCAAATGGCACTCAGTACAATTTAAGAATCTAACAAAAACCTTTAAAGAAAAAAACGACATAATGAGCTATAAAACATTATTTTAAAATATTGCTAGAGTTTATTACATAAACAATGTGACATTTATTTATTTGATTCAAAAGACAAGACATCAACTTTGTCGTGCAACGCAAATTCTACCGAAACTGTTTTATCTCAGCTAAGTACTATTTGTGAGGAGACGAGAAAAAGAAAGAACACCAAGGAAGAGCCAATGCGCTAATTTTGTGGACATGGAACCTCTTAAATTACTGTTATTTTGTGAAACGTACCACAAGTGCATTGCATGAATACCACATTCAATCATGTGTGGAAATTATGGACCTGGCTGTAGAATGACTAAGTTACCTCCTAGATGAAAATCGACAAACCCACTTCACCAAACCGACAGGCGTGCATGATTAGGGGCGCTGTCCTATGCATTGATTATGAATATTAACATATTGGTGATGGTTTCTCAGGTGTCAAAAACCTCATGTTCGTTAAGCTGCTTATTTAGTGGCATTTGAGCGACTTATGTGGCAGGTTGTGGTATTTAACAATCTGAGACTTATTTCTATCTCACCTCACATTCTGACAATTTTCCCTGCCTTTGTGGTGCGAGCGTATCCTCTCATTGTGCTGTATGATGCTGACTTCCCACTACTCGCGTACATGGATGTAGGAACAGGTTGAGTGGCGTCGCAGGGGGGCCATGACCCCACTTTTCAAGGTGGGGGAGCAGTGCTAACTGCCCCCCCCCACTTTTCGGATTGACGTTGTGTCCAGGTTACTTTTGCACTACATTTAGCATGCATGCCTTCATCTAGTTCACCAACCACATTCCTCAAGACCCCATCATTTTCCATCCTCTCATTGGGCATCGTTTAGTATCACAGCCACAGGGGCAGCGCTGCGCGGCCTACGGAAACTGCAACGCACGTCAAGCCTGTTGTTATGACTTACGAGGCACGTGTTCAAAACCATATCACACGGTTTTTTATCATTAATCAGTTCTGACTAAATCTTGAACATTTCAAGACGAACATGGATTACCCATATGTCAATACAAATCTGGGACCCCATATCATCTACAATTTACGTTCAGGGA